GAACAGATATAAATAATATAGAATAGTAAATTGAGATGCACCTAATAATACCCTCGTTGCAAACACACAGTAGAGCAATTATAAAGTTGGATGTTTGGTAACAACTAGTGAGCCACATTTCCCAACTGGCTGCATATTCTATGTAAAACTGTTCCCAGTTCTACTGTGGCTGTTAATTAGACTAGTAACAAGTTGAAGGTATTTTAAGCTGTTTGCTACACGACGCTATTGGTGCCCGCACTAAAAGTGAATTTAGAATTATGTAGTTAAAAAAAGTGACTAATAAATGATACATTTAAAAGACGCTTCTTTTATCAATTTGTTTCGAAATCACTAACAAAACCACACAATATTTTACATAAAAAACGACTGCCTATATTATTATACATTTAATAATAATTTTATCTTTAGTTCTGTGTACTGCTACGACTTATCAACGCTACGGCCTACGCTGACGTAGAGCGTAAATATGAACCTAATTTATGTGTCTACATTACAAAGCATTTAGCGTTCGACAGATCTCACACGAAAAACTGCCACATCACAAAGTTGCTATTTGATGCTTGCGTGATGTCACGTGACGTGATAAGCGTGATTGATGACGTCACACGCGTCACGACGACATAATATGTCCGCGGGGGTGGCACATTAGCCTACTTGTTGAGCGTCGCAGAATTATGGGAATACTTCAGTGTTATATTTGGGAGCGTTTTGACAGTTTATCAATACGTGTGCGTTTTACCGATAGGTTCTGTTTTTTTGTTCGCTTTATTATTTTGACTCGACGAGTATCGAAGCAACATAAAAATTACAGTTTTCTATTTTACTCTTAATATAAATACCAATATTGATGGTAAGTACAAAAACTCATTAAATCCCAAACTAAAAGACCTCAAATTAGTAGTAAAAAAAATAATTTTAATATTTAACATATATTTTGTTTTGTCAATTTGTGACCTAAAAAACATCATTTGTTGCGTCACGTGTTATGCATACTATTTTTTATGTACAAATAAATTGAAGTAAAATATTGCCATAACTTGAAACGAACCTTTTTACATTTGTTTTTCAATATTTACAGTATGAGCATTTACATTTAGTTTAACTCCATATGAAAGCAGCCTATTGTAAAGTTTCCAAACTAGCTAGTGCTCTACTATCTGTGTGTGCGTGCTTTGTGCACTAAGGAACACTTCTTTCCTTCAAATTTCTGAATCGCATGAAAAAAGGCATAGCGAGAAAACTAGACCGTAATAAAATGAAGACGAATAAATAGCATTCATTGTATGTAGTTAAAAAATTGTTAACTATATCGATTTCATCTGTTTTATTTTATTTTATTTATTATTGCCAACTGGCGGTGAGCTAACACAGATTTTCTATTTATAAGGAGCTTTACCTACATAATTGTTATTTAAAAATGAATATGTACATTTTATCTTAATGTAACCGATAAATAATATATATTTGCAAATATAATTAATATTAAAAATATTACATGTTAAACCTTTAAAACACTCTCTTGTATTTTTCCACTTTATTTGTGAATATATTTCTATCATTTATTACACGAACCAAAATAATGAAGGTCACTTTTCTACGAAGCGAATATGTCTGAGATTCTAAACATTACTTGGAAGGATGATAAACAAAAACAGGAAGCACGTTTGAAAAAAAAACGATTCAAATTATATTTTATTTTAATGTCATTATGTTTACGGCTTTAACGAGTCGAATTAACTGATTATCAGACTGATGATCGAATTCGAATAATAAACTCTAATGTAATTATTTATTACATTAATTTTGCATTGTGGTCCCACATTTTATTCCTCCTCCTACTCCTCGCGTCGTTTTCCTCATTACTGAGGGTCGTGACTCCCCCGCTGCATCAGTTTCTCCCGTACGATTTCCCTCCATCTGCTGCGATCCTTAGCTTCATGAAGGGCATTGTGGAAATTGATGTTTAGAGAAAATCGTATTTGGTCCGACCATCTCGTGGGACTGCGTCCTCTGGGACGTTTGCCATCTACCTTTCCTGTCACCATCAGCTGTTCAAGATTGTGACCCTCTTTACGAGCAATATGTCTGAAGAATTCCAGCACCCAACGAAGGCATATAGTGGAAAGTCTGGTTTTGATATGAAGCTCTCTCAGAATAGACACGTTGGTGCGAAAGGCGGTCTATTTTATTCCTACCTTGATTAAATAAAAATTAAATAAAACTTGAAATAGGAGATCAGCTTTTATTATAATCACATTGTTTTAAGTAAAATGTTGCTTCATTGCCTCGTAAAGCGGGACGCTATAAATTTTGCGAGATCAAATTTGATTATTACCTTTTGACACATTTCTTTCATCAGAATAGATGTATTAATTTGTTTATCTATGATTCCCGGTAAACTAAATAAATTGGTAATGGACTGGAGAATAAAGCGTTTGGGAATTTCCAGAGAGTAAAAAAAAATCGGTGATTTGAGCTAATAGTTTTTGCTGACATAGATATCATTATTCACAAACATATGAATTTTTTTATAGGCAAGATGAATTATAAATATGTTGTAAGGAGGCTTTTAGGAGGCATACCCGGCAATGAACGTCTTTAGGTTGGAAGATACAAGATAGACAGATAGCTAATAAATTAATAAAACACAAAACAATTTGGTAGGAAGATGTACTGTGAGCTTGCACTGATAGGATGGTGACCACCACTACTTTGCTTAATTCTGCCGTTATGCAAAACAATCGAAAATTGGCAAATGTGGCAATCGTTCTGAAGTCCACCAATTCCGGTAATAGCCATTTTATCCCAATAAAGCCTTGATCATCTGACATTATGTTATAGTTTATATACATTATGTTATATTAGAGAAATATAAAGACATCGTTTTTTTTTTAAACGTCTTTGATCATCTGATAAAAGGAGTATATTATATTACGACTAACCTTTATGGTAAGCTGCCGACGTCGCCTAATGGAATACCAATTTAGTCATGAAAAAAAAAACAGCGACAAGTTATAACATACGCGCGTATGTGTGTCGCGAGCATGTACATTACACAAAATCACTTTCACAGTCGCTCCGATTGTTACGAAGCAGGGAACTTGTTTTCTTTATACGCTTTATTTCACTACACGTACGTGGAAATATTTACAAAAGGGCCCTAAGGAATAAACGAAATTCAATTTATATTTTACCTTTTAGTTTTGTATACAAATATTGGAACGTCATAACACGTATTTTAACATAAGAAGAGTATTTGGCTAGGCATATTATATAGGCAAGACCTGGGAACGGTTAAAAGTTTATTGCGTTTACGTACCTACGTACCGCATAATGACAGACATTATCGTTTATCAAAATATTCGCGAGCGGTAATTCGTTTTGCCGTGTAAACGAATTTCAGAATTGTTTTTGAAGATCCCTAGAATCTAGAAACCCTAATATCGTTGCGTAGATTTTTTTTCATCATAAACATTAATAAACGTTCATATTACAATGCAATTAAATAAATAATAATAAATAAATATTTACTAACAATCACGCCACGTTAACCGGTCCCGTGATAAGTTCGTAAAGAACTTGTGTTACAGGTACCAGATAACGGAAATAAATGTAAGATTTTTATTATACACATACCTATATTTAATATACATCCATAACCCTGGAAAAGACATTTATATTTATCATACAAATATCTCCCTTCGCGGGATTCGAACCCGCAACCCCCTTGTGTAGTGACCATGTCACTTACCACTACACCAGACGGCCGTTGAGTACACATTTCAATTTATTATCAATGACAGCTACACAAGGCAGAATCTTTTACTTTAAGCTGCTAGTTACTCTATACAGCTATGATCCAAATGTTGTTCGGAAATCGTATGTATTAACTTGAAAATGATGTTAATGATAATTTAATTAGTAAGGTTCCTTGAAAATCTCTATCTAACTTTTAAATGATTGGGAGAACTACATAATATCTTAGTTGAAGGTAACGGGAGATCCCGAGAGGTCTGATGTGCTCTAACATGGGGTTAGTGGGAAACGAAAATACCCAAAATCATCTATACTTATTAAAGGTGCCCTTAGCGTTACTCAGGGTTTTGACACTGTTAGCAAATCCCACCCCTCCTGGCTGAGCCTTTGCTCGCCCACCTGTCCTGGTGAATGGGAAAGGCCTCCGGGCCACCAGTAATCCTTGAATCCTAAAAAAAAGGGCTTGGACACTCCTAGTGTTACTAAAATGCTATACCTACTGGTTAAATTTTCAAGAACGATTTTTAATAATTTAAAGGTATTTACAAAAAGACATTGACAATCTCTGCTGTTAATGTGAATTGAAATCGGTTGAAATAAGTTGTCAGAATCGATATCGCTCGAGCAACGTTCACTGCTGAATGTATAAACATGGGCCTCCCTCGAAGCTCAATTAATCCAATGCTGCATACATCCAGAAGATTCTGGCCATGCTCACCGTCAGTCTTCATTATATATTTTTTTTATAACTTAGATGTGTGGACGAGCTCACAGCCCACCTGGTGTTAAGTGGTTACTGGAGCCCATTGACATCTACAACATAAATGCGCCACCCACCTTGAGATATAAGTTCTAAGATCTCAGTATAGTTACAAGGGCTGCCCCACCCTTCAAACCGAAACGCATCACTGCTTCACGGCAGAAACAGTCTGGGCGGTGGTACCTACCCGCGCGGACTCACAAGAGATCCTACCACCAGTAATTACGCAAATTATAATTTTGCGGGTTTAATTTTTATTACACGATGCTGTTCCTTCATCGTGGAAATCAATCGTGAACATTTGTTAAGTACGTATTTCATTAGAAAAATTGGTATCCGCCTGAGATTCGAACCCGGTGTTCATCGCTCAACACGAATGCACCGGGCGCCCTATCCATTAGGCCACGACGACCGTCAGTCTTCATTATAAATTAATATTATAGGAAATAAAACGTAACTTGTATTGTTGTTTGTTTCAGCCATGTCTCGGAGTTTCGTGTTTGCCCTCGCACTGTTCGGAATGGTGGCAGTTTTACCTTTGCCCACAGCAAACGCTCAGGCGTTATCGAACTACGATGGTATGTACGAATTAATTATTACATTAATTAATTAATTAATTATTATATTATATTAACATAATACTTTTATTAATTTAATATTTAAAATTAACACATTTTTGTATGAGTATTCTTAAAACGTTATTAATTTTATGAAATCAAACTCTTTGTAGATACAACACTAAGAACTGCTAGTATTTTTATTGAATGTGTTGAAAGAAATTTTATTTATTAAAAATAAGTGTTTCGTCATTTCATTATTTTGTTTATTACTAAAAATCTTACAGCTGCTAACATATTGACATATTTTAATAACATCGGCAATGGAAAATTAATTATAAAACATCGTACTGAAAATAATTAATAATATAATAATTATAATTACACTTGAAATTATGACTTTGTCGAACTGTACAAGTAAGTCTAATAACAATATAATTCCTGTGTCAACACATTGAACGGCTTGTAAAATCTGTGACTCACGTAAGAGGCACGTACTCCTTAATCTATTCGACAACAGCTAAGCTACATTTTATGGAAAATTTACAGTAGGAGAAGTCAATATAACTTTATTGCTTTAAAACAAACAATTTCAGAGTAATAATCCCTTTCAATGTTTTCACTGTAATAAATCAGATCTGAAAATGTGGTAACGAAATTCACCTAGAACCATTATGAGTGGTAAGCCACAGATATCGATGGGTTCAGAACACGTATGTGGTTATAACGACCAAACACTAACACTAAGTGAAATTACACTAATAATTGATAATACAACTTGTGGTCACGTCCACATTTTGTGGATGCGAATGTAATCGAAAGATAATAATAGAATAATGACTCTTTTGTTGCTTGTTTAGAAATGCTGTGAAACAAAATGAGGTGTGGTCCTATTATTTATTGTTCAATGAGCAGTCACTTTTCTCATCAAACAGGAATCCCTTGAGAGGCCCTGTTCGATAGTTGCCCTTCAAGTTCGTCTGAAAGTGTCCAGAAGGTTTCCTCGCTGACAACATTAACTTTATAACAAGGGTGGGCGCAAACATTCAGCTAAATTCAATTTAGTTTCTAAAGTTATAAACATTTTCTTTCTCAGTCGTTTCGCTGTTTCAGAGCGATCGTGGTCCTCATTCTTTTTTAGGGGCTGAAGTCGTTTGCCTTACTTCGTTTCTTTGCTTCTTATTGCCGTCAATCGTGAACCTGGTCTCTCAAAGCAGACCTGATCTATATAGTCCATCGAACTGGTTGCTGACACCTCACAAAACCTGGTTCCATCCACCTTATTCTATATCAGGAGTCGTTCTAAGGAAACGTTTTTTTTTGCCATAAAACGTGATCGAAGAATTTTAGTAAACAACTTTGCATTACTGTTGTGACAGACACTCTCTGATATTGAGTTCTTCGACTATAATGACATTGGCGCAAATTTATCTCCTATTTGAAGCTTTCTCCTATAGCGTTGCATTTCAAGGGCGTATCTTTTTATGTATTGGGGCTCGCCACGTAGCCTTAATTTTGCTGAAAATATTATCATCACGAGCCTTTTATTTCATACCAAAAATGATTCACACTTGAAAATTGCATACTAAGATTACGTTTAGTATTTTAGTCAGTTTTTCCGAGTCATAGACTTAAATAAATTTACTTTTACGGTTTAATCTATACTTTATTTATTGTCGCTATATTATTTCGAATATATTACGGTTTTCGTGGTCACGGACAAATGTAAAAGCAGTTTTAATTAGGGTTACATAATATATCTTTGTGCCCAAAAAATCGTAATGTATGAAATAATATAAATAATAATGTATGAAAAAGAATGTCTGTATAAAATCGTGGGTAGTATAATAAATGACAAACTACAACAATCCCAATTTAAAGTTGACCCGACAACAATCTTCGAATTTGAGGCGACAGCGCAAATGCAGAAATTATTGCTCCAATGTTTCCGGTCGAGGTAGGTACAGGGTCAACTTGCAAACTTTGAACTTAGTTAAATCTTAGATCCACGTTAATTCCTAGACAGATTCCGATCATAGTTACGAGACAGTATAAATGTACACTAATTTGTTACTCTTCTTACTCAACAAACAACAGTCAATTAAAAGGGGGCTTTAATCTGTCAATTCTCTTAATATAGCGAATAAAAGGTCGGGCAGTTAGTCTAGGTTTATAACAATTACATCACGATACACGGTTAAATAGCTTTTGTCATGTAATAAAACAATGATAAGTCGGTTTTGTTTTTTTAATATATTCTTTGAGTCGTAATAAACATGTCGTGCGGTTTTATTTAGGTTCTCTCTGCGTAGGATTGCCAAAACTTTTACGATATTAAAATAATAATATCACAATAGCAAGGCACATAATATATCAACTAGGCATTGTGCTCTAAATGATTTATTCAAGACAAGAAATGGTCGTTTTAATTCAACCTTATGATTTGAAGCTAAAGACAACATTCACGTGCTTCACAAAACCTATCCTCAAGATTACAATATTTTATAACCTAACACAAAGAAGAATCTTTTTTAATACTTGCTCGCTTTGTATTACAAGGGAACGTTTTCATAACGTACGTAATGATCGCATCGTAAGAATATATTGAATGTTTTTTTTCTATTCGCATTTATTATACCTCTTTGTCTAAAATATTCTAAGAAGATTATTCCTTGTGCAATAGAATGGTGTGTCAATTTTTCAAATGGACGGTATAGTTAAATTTTCATGGTAAAAAAACCTTCAAGATCTTTGTAATTACGCAATAAGAGTAATAAGAGGAAACATTCTGCCCATTTGAGCTATTTTGTATTAAAGAAATTGTACATATATTTCTATATTTAACAGTGTCTCTTGTGTGCACGAAATAAGCGTGAATAGATACTTTAGTCCGATCCATTTGTTTAGAAGTAAGGTAAGTTTTACGAAAACCGGAATCTAAAGTCACGACGGACGTAAATTTTCCATCCAATTACGATGGTATTTTGACCCACGGTTCTTGGAGAAAGGAAATTAAATAAGTTATTTACTTACTGTCCATTAAGATTGAAACACAGAAAAATATGGCTAAAATTCATTCCCAATAGTGTGTACGATTTATAGTCAGAAGTTATTACTGCTACTTCTAATCCATGGTAAACTCATCCTACCTAAAGGTCCCGTTATTCATAACTTGAGTTGACCGTGCTTAGAATGTACTTTGAGAAAGTACGCCTATCAATTTTCGTCACCGATAACTGAATTGATTCAAACTTTTCAACTGCTCATATTTTCATATTTATATCGTCTTTGAGACTTGTCCACACTACCGACCTACTCCATTAGAAATCTTTACGTCATAACCCCAATAAAAATATTACTTACAATAAATTAATAGTGAAAATATTAATTAATCGTTACCGGTAATGTAATGTAACAATAGCGAATTTACTTCTGAATCTCGCAGTTTCCAGTTCTCGTGTTCGCTCTGAGAACGCAAAAATGTTTTTACTACGCAAAGTTCCATCGTAATAAAACTTGGGCAATCCTGTTATTCTCGCATTACATGATTAATAAGGAAAGTTAGTTCCTGAGTACCTGTAGCGACTTGTAACGATTTATTTTCTATTAATAATATAATAATTAGTAACTCAATCAAACATTTACAAATTTATATAATGTTTTTGGCATAACACAACTATTGACAATCGAATTTTTGTGCATACACTATACTAGCGGATGTATGTATATAATGAATGTATGTACGTACATATGTATGTATTTGTATGAAGGTTCATGAACATATGTGTGTAAGTTTGCATGTGAATATTATGTTTAGAATATTGTACCATGTCTTCTTAAATATTCTCCTTAATTCTTTTTCAACTTATGTTAGTCTGTCAAATATCATTATAAGCGTTAGGTATGGCATTTACACAGAATTTTTTTTCAGTACCTAATAATTTTTTATTGTATACATATAAATTGAAGCACATTGCAATTTAATATTATCGTAAATTCACTTGGCAGTCTTTACTAAATTTCTGTTATTTATTTTATTTTGTTTTACAATAAGAATTATCTCACTTTTAGTCTAGTACCATTTATATTTTTGGCTTTAAATTATTCAGATGGTGAGTTCACTAACAAAATAAAATGCATATAAAATGATATGCATACTTCAGTGCTCTCTATGCATTGAGCTTTTATTATTTTAAAACAAGTTTATTCATTTCTCAATAAAATTTATAAATGTTCATTACACTTTTTTACTATTATTAAATTAACATATTTTTTCCGATCACTCGCGGCATAAGTGAATATTGATTTGTATGTTCAATAACTTCGTGGTCTGCTATCTAATTTTAGAATCTTTGTTAAATGTTACTTATAGTTTCATAATCGAAATGTATTTATATAATGTCTTTTACTTACTAGTGGAAGGACCTCTTGAGAGCCCGAGTCCGCAGGGGTAGGTACCACCTGCCCCTATTTCAGTTGTGAAGCAATAATGCGTTTCGGTTTGACGGGTGGGGCAGCCGTTGTAACTATGGAACGTTGTAGATGTCTATGGACTCCTGTAACCACTTAACACCAGGTGGACTGTGAGCTCGGCCAACTATCTATGCAATAAATTAAAAATATCTATGGTTTTTTCGGTAGTCACAGATGAATAACCGTACCGGGTTGAATGTGGAACATTTAAGTCTGAATTATTTAGTAATTTTTAACAAAATTCTCTTTTTGGAACGAAGTTCCTTATGGGACGATGCGGAGGGGTACCCTAACCGAGAAAAAACGTCCGTAACGTAAGATTTTTATTAGTGATGCACAGACTGTACGACTTGACTTTGTAATAACGTACAAAAAATTACATATTTTTTTATCATTCATTGACCACCATCTCAGAGCGTCCGTTTGCGCAATACACTAACTCTTATGCAAACAACCGCGAATGAAGTGTACCACAATAAGTTCGCACGTTACCGAATGACCGTGGGTTGTTGCGAAACCTCCTGAGTTTTATTTTCTTTATACTTCGAATAGAACTTAAAATTAATATTTTTATAATAAGGAGCTTCGTTCCTACCCGGTGTCCCACGACACCACACATCTTTTTTATTTATTGTTCGCTGTCCTAGCGTCACCTGCAACATTCGAGAGCCGGAATAACTGGGATGCACTGGGAGGGCTCTATGCTCTTCTGGCTCAGCACGACGCGCTCGGCGGACACGCGCTGGCCCGCAAGTCTGTTCGATCGCCATCCCGACGCCTGCGTTTCGGCCGCCGGTCAGATCCCGACATGCCACCTCAAGCTCCTGTGAGTTCATAAAAAATAGACAACCGTTTAATTTACAGAAATTCTGGACAATATAAAAAATATAGCAGGTATGTTGCGGTGTACCATAGACAATACATTATTATAGAAAATATATACATACAATAAACATATGTATACCGTTTACATATAATATATATACTTACACACATATAATAAATCAACAGTATGGAAATGATACATGATAATGATGCAAACAAACAGCAGCACTAAGTAGCTAAGTAGTGTTCCTTCACCATTCTTTACAAAAAACATTTATAATATCTCGCTATGTACGTTACGTATGCATTAAGATTGTTTTACTAGCTTTAACGGTAGGCAGTGGCTTGGCTTTACCCCCGGCATTGCTGAAGTCCATGGGCGACGGTAACTACTCCCCATCAGGCTTGCCGTATGCTCGTCTGCCTACAGTGGCAATAAAAATAAAATAAAATAAAAGCTCAATTGTTCTGGTTTTGTGAGCAGCTTTCGAATTTAAAAATCTCATGTAGATGTTAGCATTGAGATGTCAGATACTAGTTACGTATGAGTACATGCTTAGTATACGATACATAGAAATCAGCAAATTCTCGGGAGAGACAATTTAAATTTGCTTCAATTTGACAATCGTAATAATTTGAATATATCAACGCACCGAGAAGGTTACATAGAATAATATTCAGATACAACATAATAGAATTATAACTCGGAGAGCCAAATTCCGCTATAAATTTGAATGATAAATTCCAGTACACGAGCACGGAAATATTAAGTTGTTAAGAGAGATCACGCACCGATATCGTTCTAAATATTAAAGATATAACAGTAAAATGAAAGCTGCTTACATCGACGAATATTGTTCTGAATATTCCATAATATGATTCGCGTTTAATGCACTTCTCACAAATTTGTCGGTAGTGTATGTAATACTGTCTCACGGTGAGTAGATTTACTTATACTATGAGGTTTTAGTCAGAGTGAAACGCGAAGATTCGAAACGAAAACACGAAGTGGTAGGGGTCTTGCGAGCACTGATAAGTACCACCATCCTCTCTGTTTTTGTCATGGAGCAGTAATGTGTTTCGGTTTGAAGCTTGGGGCAGCCGTTATACTATAACCCCGAGACGTAGAACTGATATGTCAAGGAGGGTGGCGGCATTTAGGTTGTTGTTGTCTACGGGCTTTGGTAACCACTAAGCAAGGGGTCTAAGATCGTACATCGATCTAAGCAATAAAAAATAATTGTAATGATAATGATAATGAATGATAATTTTTCTTTCCTTCCCTTTCTGTCTATTTTATCATCGCATCCTCTGTCACTGGATCAGAGTTCATATTAACTATGGGTAACATGCGTCCATTAATGGTTTAAATTCAGTGATTTATCACACACCATATGGCTTTAAAATTAATTCCCCTCCACTGCACTATGACACGAGATTTCAATAAAGTCTTAACCCAGACGCAGCCGCATAGCTATGGATCTGGCATTGTTAATTTCCATGAACGTCTATCAAAACAAACTGCCAGTTTTATTTACAACCAGAGATTTGAAAAACAAAAAATCATTGCTTACTCTACTTGTTTTGGGTACACGTAGCATCTTTTTATATTTTTTCGAAATACCAAAACGAAGTATTTCAATTTTCCAGATCTACATGACCTAATTACGTAATTTACAGTCAAGATAGCGCCTACTGTAAATAAAGTCATCTCTAATTATTATTATAATTAACAATAAGATTTGAATAGAATTCTAAAAATTTTACCATTCTACCCATTAAAACATTTGTGGTGGTACTTGGTACTAACTCAAAATTTATCAGTAAGAACTATACATATTATTATAATTTTTAAGATTAAAAATCCGACGTCAACAAACAAATCTCAATCAACAAAAAAAATCTTAGCTTGAGGTCGTTCAATGTATAACGCATTATTTTATTTTGAAATTAGAGTTTAATTCGTTGAGTTACCATAGCGCCGTAGCATCTGGAATATTTCCAAGAGCTCTGAGTACATACATGACCCGAATTACTTTTTGTAAGTTAAACAAAACTGCCAACTTTCGATCTACACCTATAAGTTCTGCTTTTTAGATTCACTGCTGATTTCTTGTTTTGATTTGAAAGAAATTTGAAAATGTATAAGCGAACAGCCTAACAGCGCAGTGTTAAAGGAGTAACAATCCGAAAAACGTAGTTCTCTCGATCATTATATAAATCAATTTTGTTAACTTTCAACACCCTTTCATCCCTAATTTTATGAAGCCCGCCTTATCCCTTGCTCCATTAGTAGGGCTTCGTGGCCATGAACATATGTACATACGTATATATTCTAAGCGTATAGCGGTGTGATAGTTAATAGTTTTGGCCTTTAAAATATATGTATAACTCTAATGATGAAACGATACGGTTCATCTATTTGCCTGATAGACTTTGCAAAGGTGCGCTTATCGGAAACAATTAACATTTTCGTATGTTTGTGAGTTAAAGGTTATTTTTACAGTAGCTGCTCACGTTTCGATTATCATTAGATAATAAAATATATTTTTTTTAAAAAGCCCGCTTAAAATACAACACTATCTCGAATTATCCAATACAAAAATGTAATAGAAGAAATGAAGAGACCAATGTGTATTCGCATTTAAAATTTCCCAATTACTGTAAATACAATTGTATAAGACAGTAACAAAATTGTTCCAAGTCTCTATGTCTGGCCGGAAGGAGAACAGAGATCGCCAATTTAGATTGAGGAAGCAACGTCATAATATTATTTAAGTTCTGCAGAAGCTATCTCTTTAAATTCTGTTCGCCACTAATTTTTGTTCCAGATATTTTGACAATCGGTATTGTAGGGTACATGTTTAATCATTTATCACTGATTTTTTTATTACCGTCCGCTACTGTGGAACGTCAGTAATACTAGGGACACACCCTATTATAATCTACTTTAGTCAAATCCAATCTAAAGCAAATCAAAACTATTCCGTAAATCATTATCAATATATTAAATATATATTCACGATTTTAGTTTAATCTCTTTTAGAATGCCTTTTTTTTTTTTTTTTTTTTTTTTTTTTTTTTTTTTTTTTTTTTTTTTTTTTTTTTTTTTTTTTTTTTTTTTTTTTTTTTTTTTTTTTTTTTTTTTTTTTTTTTTTTTTTTTTTTTTTTTTTTTTTT